TTTTATGACGTTTCCCCCTATGGAATACCAGGGGGTAGGGAGAATCCGGTCCTCTGGCACCTTACTCGGACTAAGAGGAGTTGCTGCCTGCAGAGTGGTTTGGCACATGAACTCTGTTCTGTGTATCAAGCCTCTTTTGCAGGATGTAGACATGGTGAATTATTTGTCAACTGGCAACGAAGGTGAGTGAAAGCCTGGGGCATGGTGAATGGCGCATCCAAGGGCATCTCCGGAGGCAGTGGGAGTGCACCCAGTGGTGGTGAGACTGCTGTTGGGAGAGTCACACGTGATGCACTGATGACTACCTCATCTAGAAGCATGAAAACCTGAACTTCAACCGTTGTATTCACCCCATGTTGTGGGCTAGATACATGGAGAATTGCATGACGATGAACATGAGGATCTAGGTTGTGGCGAATGGCGACTCAGACGGCGGCGCTTCCAGAAGCAGTGGGAGGGCAACTGGCAGTGGTGCGACTACCGTTGTGAGGAGCACACACCAAGAGCTAAGTAATTTCGTCGGCAAGGAACATAGGCTATTCTGTACATGCAGACTCTCATGATGAGAGGATATCCAAAGATCTGATATAAGGAATTTCAAGATGCATGGGTGGGTCTTCTATGGTTCAGCTTGGGGAATGAAGAAATAGGCAACTCATGTTTGGAGAGTCAGCCTTACAAGCTCAAGATGAAAAACAGCTTCGATGGACTGTAAGAAGAAAAACAGCTCCGTGTTTGAATCAACATCTTGCTGTTGGTGATTGTCGCCACAGGGGAAGCACAAAGTGTGGTAGTTATTTTTATTTTAATCTTTTGTCTTATTGGATGAAGATATTCGTTGTGCTCACCTGGCATTCGGCACGACCTCCATATCTCCTGATTAGTCTGGGTCTGTTTGTTTTCAGGTCAGATGCATAGAAGGATGATAATGATTGATAATGACGTTCTTCATGGATAGATAGTATGCATCTCTTATACCTTACAATTAACTGATCTCATAGGACCTTAGACTAGATCCATTATGTCGCGTGTTTTTTGGCCTCGTTTCCTTTTTTTGGGGGGCAAAAGTACGTTTATGTCACATGAGAGTTCGTAATGGGCAGAAAAAACAGGCATCGGAGTCTGTGTCAGGGCCTGAGTTCGAAAAGGCGTTCTTAACTCAGGCCGGCAGTAGTGGTGTCTTTTTTTTTTTCTTTTCCGGTCGGTGCTGTGGCACCATGGTTGGGCCACGGCCGGGGTTTGGCCTATACATCTGGGCCATGGCCAATCTGGGGTGTGGCCGAGACATCTCGGCCGTGGCAAATCTGGGGTGTGGCCGAGACATCTCGGCCGTGGCCCGACCATGAAGCCGATACACTGAAAAAAAAAAAAAAAAAAAGACAACTGCCTTAAACCACCAGTACCTCGCTCAGCTATCGGCCGCGGGCACTCCCGTATACGTGCCGCAGCCCTAGGGGGGTCGGCCAAGGGAAGGCCCGGTCGCTGCGTGAAGGCCGGGCTCCGCTTCCCTAGGAATGACACACTTGAGAAAACAAAAAAAAAGAAGGGAAAAAAAAAAACAAATACACAAACGAAAAAAAAAACGAACCGACAAAAAGTTGAAGTCGCGCGGGAGAGAGAGAGAGAGAGAGGGGCGGCGAGTTCGCCGCGACCCTCTGTGCAGGTCGCCGCCACTCTCTCTCTCTCTCTCTCTCTCTCTCTCTCTCTCTCTCGTCGCGGCTGGCCTCATGGTACTGCGCCCTCGATAGGATGAGCACAATCGAATGAATCTGGCGCTATAGCGTGGGAATATACATTGCCTTACTTGTTTTGGTGTGAGTGTGTGTGTGCGTGAGAGAGAGAGAGAGAGAGAGAGAGAGAGAGAGAGAGAGAGAGGGGCAGCGAGGTCGCTGCCTCTCTCTCTCTCTCTCTCTCTCGCGGCTGGCCTCATGGTACTGCGCCCTTGCTAGGATGAGCAAAATTGAATGAATCTGGCGCTATAGCGTGGGAATATACACTGCCTTACTTGTTTTTGTGTGAGAGAGAGAGAGAGAGAGAGAGGTGGCGAGGTCTCTCTCTCTCTCTTGCGTCGCGGCTGGCCTCATGGTACTGCGCCCTTGCTAGGATGACCAAATCGAATGAATCTTGCGCTGTAGCGTGGGAATATACACTGCCATACTTGTTTTTGTGTGTGTGTGTGTGTGAGAGAGAGAGGGGCGGCGAGTTCGCCGCGACCCTCCGTGCAGGTCGCCACCTCTCTCTCTCTCTCTCGTCGCGGCTGGCCTCATGGTACTGCTGCCATACTTGTTTTTGTGTGTGTGTGTGTGTGTGTGTGTGAGAGAGAGAGGGGCGGCGAGTTCGCCGCGACCCTCCGTGCAGGTCGCCACCTCTCTCTCTCTCTCTCTCTCTCTCTCTCTCTCTCGTCGCGGCTGGCCTCATGGTACTGCGCCCTCCATAGGATGAGCAAAATCGAATGAATCTGGTGCTATAGCGTGGGAATATACACTGCCATACTTTTTTTCGTTTTTTTTTTTCATTTTTTTTTTGTTT